CAATTAGGATTTGAAAGATGAATTAGAATTTTCTAATCTGCTAAAAGATGACATACACACTGTCCCTAACATTACATCAAATTTATATGTTCTAATATAAGAAATGGGTTTTAAAAATAGGTGCTTTGGTATAAAAAAATTTTTTAAATACAGCACAATTAAAAAGTAAGTTCACATTCCTTTCTAAATAAATGAAGTTATCTTATTGATGAATTAGGAAGCAGACATATTTCTGTTTCTCGCTCTCTTTGAAACATTTTTACTTCAGCTCTCAAGGATTATTTATGCAGAGTCATGGCATATATTGAACACACCCCAAAAACATGTTTTGTGAGATAAGGACAATGATGCCCTATCAAGACGTCCCTAGTGTTCGGTTTGAAGTAGGGTTCCAGCTTAGAGACTCAACAGGAAACAGCAATGTTGTCTTTACATATTTATATCAGCAGTACTGGTTCTGAAATAGCAACAAGAAGAAAGGCCCTGTTGAACTCCGAATATTGCTGTATATTTTTTATGAGCTTTTAAATTATACATTTATATTTTTGTGTAGATGTAGCACTTCACAGAAGTGTCGCTTAGTGTCCCTTGAGAGATTTGAAAAACTCTTTGCATGAGCTCTCTGCAGTCCTCCTAGGATTCTATTAAATGTACACTCTGTGCTCTTTATGCTTTTTTTTTCCCGAATTTGGCATACTTCTGTTGTCTCTGCACTTCATTCTGAATATTTTCTTCTGATCTACCTTTCAGTCTTCCCATTCTCTATTCAACTGAACCCTATGCTATTAAATCTAGTACTGAGTTAATACTTTCCATGGACTTTTTAGTTCTGGAGTTTCTGTGTGATGTTTAACTATTTTAAAGTCCCTATCTTGCCAAATGATTTCTTCTAAAAGTCAACCAGAATTATTTTAAATCCTATTTCTAAGACCTGTAACATCTAGATTTCTGATGATCTTATTTGTTTTATGTTTTGTGTGAATATGAAATTAGTTTTTATCTTTTTGAATTCCTTTTTTTTAAATTAAGTATTGGGCATTGTATAGAAGAGTAGTAGAGATAATCTGAGTATCTGTATTTGTTATTGTCCTCTCAAAGATTTATGTTAGCTTTTGTCAGGTAGTTAAAGTAGAGGAAGATAATCTTCAATTAGTCTGGGGTTAAGGTGATACAAAGCAAGTAGTCTGTGTTTGTGAAGATTTGTGTATTTCTGGTCCCTCCCTAACTACTGCGTTACACTTAGGTTCAGCCGTTTGCGTACTAAACTGAAACCCTGTGGGATTCCCCCAAGGCTTTCTTTGGTGAGCCCTGTGAGAGCACTAGCTTTCCATCTAGTCCCCTGAGATGGTCAGAAACTCTGCTTATCTTCTTGTCATCTCACTTCCTGCTTTGAAACAGGCAAATGCATGGAGGGGAAATGTGCGTCATCCATGACCGTTGACTTCAGAGCTTCCTTTAAGATTATGGACCCTTAAGTCCTTACTGCTTTGCTAGTTCTCTGATGCCTCTGTCAGATTAAAATAATTATTTTGTTAGTCTTTCCTAGAGGGAGTTTCTCTGCGGCAAGCTACTCTCCATTACCAGAAGCAGAAGTCCCGAGAGGCACTTCTGCACGGTGATAATGAGAAGGGGGCTAGTGCTGTTCTCCTGCATTCACACTGCGCTCCCCCACTTACACATCAGGTTATGTTGGGGATGTCATGTAGCCTCTTTGAGCATGAACTGCTTCATCTTAATATAAATGAAAAAATGATATCTACCTCAGAGGTGTGTATGAAAACCAAAAGAAACATTTCAAACAACGTTGACCTTTTCACGTGTCCCAAAGGTCAGGCGACCGGGAAAGCAGGGGTGCCTCTCTTTGTGCCTGTGGCATTGGGGCCATGGCAAAACAAGTACTGGGGATGCTTCTTTCACTCTTTAATTGGGTATCCGTTGGAAGGAGTGCTGCGGGAACCCTAACCAAAAGAGGTGTTGTGCTCCTGGAAAAATCTGAAGGAAAAGTATTGCAAGCAACAGTAGTAGCTGGATCAGGCTTTGAAGGAATGGGTGGGGAGACTCAACCAGTTAGTGTGAAAGTTGGAGATAAAGTTGTTCTAGAACATGGAGGCACCAAAGTGGCTACAGATGACAGGAATTAGTTTTTATTGAGAGATGGGGACATTCTTGGAAATATGTAGACTGAAATCTCGATTGAAATGGCATCACATGAAGCTGCCCATTCCATGGAAGTTCTGAATTATTTCATCACATAAATAATTTCTGTGTCTCTTTGTAATAAACTAAAGTTGTCTAAAATAATGACATCCAAAAATAAATAAATAAATAATAAAACAATGTGGAACACATGGTAAGTGGTCAAGAAATTTACCCATGCCATTTGTGTTTTAAATAAATTTAAACATTGAAATATTTATTGAATGCATAATTGCACTATGATGCTATGGTAAACAAAAGAGAAAAATTTGACCTCATTTCTAACAAAACTTTAAAATTTAAGATGTAATGCAAATGTCTGCATTTGTGGAGAAAACCTCGTGAGAGAAATCTATTGTTATCCTCACAACCAACTCACCTACAAAAACACAATTCAGAAAAGACAGGTATTACAAAAAAAAAAAAAAAACATTTTTGAAGAGAATATTTGGTAGGCTCTTGCAAATTCTTTGGGTTTAAACATCAATGCAATGTGTGATTCTGAATAGAGGAGCTATTCCTCTGTTGGTTAGAATTGATCAATATCCAAAAAAAAGTGTCTTCCTATTTTAAAGAAACTTTTTTCAGGTACAATGTATACATTGTAGCTGGTACTTTAGAATTATAGGATTTAATCCAGGCTGGCACTGTGGTGTAGTGGGTAAAGCCGCTGCCTACAATGGCAGAATCCCATATGGGTGCCAATTCAAGTCTCAGCTGCTCCACTTCTGATCCAGCTCTCTGCTATGGCCTGGGAAAGCAGTAGAAAATGGCCCAAGTCCTTGGGCCCCTGCACCCATGTGGGAAACCTGGAAGAAGCTCCTGGCTTTGGATGGGTGTAGCTCTAGCTGTTGTGGCCATCTGGGGAGTGAACCAGCAGATGGAAGACCTCTCTCTCTCTCTGCCTCTGCCTATCTGTAACTCTGCCTTTCAAATAAATAAATAAATCTTAAAAAAAGAATTATATGATTTGAAACTTAACTATTAAGGTATATAAATATTTAATTCATATGTTTCCATAGTTAGCTATTAAGTAAAAATAGCAAGAATTTATTTTAGGAAAGCCTAAATTTTTCATGCTTTCCAACTAATTCTCTAAGAGGAAGACTAGAATAGATAAAAATTATTAGAGGGAAGAAGTTTTTTTCTCAAATTGCAAATGCCCAAAGTGAGTCATTGTGTTGGTCCAGAAAAGATAAAGAAAATCAAGATATTATTCCACTTTATTGAGGTCCGATTTTCCAACCCTGTTGTCTTCAGAACAAAACTGCTTTTTAAACTCAAGTAATATTTTAAATCTACTAAGGAAAACTGAAATATTAAAGGACAATGGATTTTTTACACATCTACTCAGTGAAAGAGTATATTTGTAATATTCCAATGATAAAAGATAAAGAAAAAATTTTGATTGTTCTATTTTGCAGAAGAAAAATAAGGTGATGAGGCTGGCCTTGTGGCATGGTGGGTAAAACAACAGCCTACTATGCCAGCATCCCATATGGGTGCCACTTCCCGGTTCGTGTCCTAGCTGCTTCACTTCTGATCCAGCTCCCTGCTAATGGCCTGAGAAAGGTAATGGAAGATGGCCAAAATGCTTGGGCCCTTGCTACCCTGTCTCCTGGCTTTGGCCTGATGCAGTGCTGGCCATTGCAGCCATCTGGGGAGTGAACCAGTAAATGAAAGCTTGCTCTCTCTCTCTCTCTCTCTTTCTTTCTCTCTCTCCCCCCTTCTCTCCCCCTCTTCCTCTCCCTCTCCCTCTCTCCCCGTCTCTGTAATTCTGTCTTTCAAATAAATAAGTGAATCTTAAATTTAAAAAGAGAAAAAGAAAAATGAGATGACCAAAAGAAACTTAAGACCAGCCTTCAAAGGCTAAATGCTGCCACTGGATATTTAAAATGGATTAGGCAGGGCACTCTATGCTGCCTTACTGATCAGTGGGCAAGGAAGAATTTGTCCCCAGGTGACATAATGACAGCCACCGTTTATCACATACAGAGTGCTGACCATGCTCTGTACCTCATTTCATAAAAATATCATATTAATTCTGAAAAGTTGTTATCATAATCTGCATATTAGAGATAAGGAAACCAAAGTTACATGGATAAATAGTGAGGGTTCAAACTCTGTTCCCAAAATTGAATCTCCACACCATGGCTAACTAGACATTTATGATGTCCCCATAAAAATGCTATCATGAATATTAACAAAGGCTTATGGGGCCAGCATGTGGTGTAGCAGGTTAAGCTGCCACCTGCGACCCCAGCGTCCCATTTGGGCATCAGTTTGTGTCCCAGTTGCTCCACTTCTGATCCAGCTCCCTGTTAATGGCCTGGGAAAAGCAACAGAAGATGGCCCAAGTGTTTGGAATTTTGCCATCCACATGGGAGACCCAGATGAAGTTCCTGGCTCCTGACTTTGGGCTGCTTTGTCTCTGGCCACTGGCAGATGGAAAATTCTCTCTCTCTCTCTCTCTCTCTCTCTCTCTCTCTCCCCCTCCCTCTGTGTGTGTGTGTCTACCGGTCTCTCTCTGTAACTTTTTCAAATAAATGAATAAGAAATAAGAAACAATTTTGTTAAGTCTCTCTAGAATCACAGACATGAATTAAAATCCCTGATGTTAATGAGTCACAGGAAAGCAGGGTTGGAATTCAGATCACAGCAATGCTGGGTGCTGAGTGCAGAGTAGATCCGAGGACACGTTGAAATCCGGGAGCAGAAAATGGTTCAGCAGCAGCAGTGCATGTCTTCCAGCTCAATGGAAGCAATACACTAGGACTGATATGATGCAACAACAGGCCTATGCATTAGTGGGGGCAGCATGTTTATTTGTTTTTATTTGAATAGCATTTGATTCATAGGAGCTTCTTTGAAGAGGCATGCTACATTGATAGGATGAATACCTAGAAAAAGCCAGAGGCTATTCCACGATGACTAAAACACCACCTTCACTATGCCTTTGCTGTCCATGTTCTGTCTTCACAAGACCCTCACCTTTCTGCATTCACTGTCTCCCTAGTGTAGACCCTTTGTTCACACACACACACACACACAAACACTCAGTACTGAAGAGTAAAATCGTCTAATGAGCTTCACCACCCCTCCCACCCTAGCCTTCAGTTTTAAGAAATTCAGCATGGGGCAGGGGGCTGGTGCTGTGGTGTAGTGGGTAAAGCTGCCGCCTGCAGTGCCGGCATCCATATGGGCGCCGGTTCGAGTCCCAGCTGCTCCACTTTCAATCCAGTTCTCTGTTATGGCCTGGGAAAGCAATGGAAGATGGCCCAAGGTAGTTTAAGTAAAAGTTGCTAGGCCCACATCCATACATAAAATTATTCACTTAATTATCACATCAAGTATGGAATTTTATTAATTTGGAAATAGACTATTACAGGACTGTATTTCTTATTTTTATTTTTTTTTTCACTATAAATGAGTAACAGCTGGATATCCACTAGAACTCAGTCTAATATCTAGAAATTTCTTTTAGATAACTTAAAACAATTTCCAAAGTTTTATTAATGAGAACTGAAACTGATGGGTTAAAGAATTCAGTTGAGAAAACAGAGTGACCTATTCAAATATTTACCTCCATGTCACATTTACACATTTTGTTACATTCAGAGTCAAATTTGTGTTCCAAAAAAAGGAATTGATTCTTTTCTTTCTCAGTACACTCTGACCACTTACATTAATAACTTTTTCAGTGAAACAAAATGTATCAGTCAGGGCACTGAAGGAGTTAATGTTCCACTTTCACACAAGTCATTTTAAGTAGGTCATTTGTATATATGTTACATATCATTTTTAAATGGGAATAACACTTTGTATTGACTTGTGCACTAAATGATGGCTGTGACTATCTTTATATATAATGGCGTTTCCAAGCACAAGTTTTATTAGTGTGAACAGAATATCATCCTTAGTGTAAAACCACATCTTGCCTGTTCAACAACTAAGAGAATGAGTGACAGGACTTCAGTATCCCCTGAATTCATTTAAACAGTGAAAAGGTGTTACAAGCCCTTCACTTGATAGTGCCATGATTAAAAACAATAGTATAGAATAAGAATGAATTCCACCAAAATTTGGGGCCTGAATTTCCAATAACTTGATTATAAAATTTACAATAACACAAAAACAATGCAAGAAAATTTTTTATCTTGAAATATTAATGACAGGAGATTTTTTTCATGTTTGAGTCGCTGGGAGTTGTGATGTAAAAGCTGCATTCTAAAATTGTACAAGTTAGGAGCTACACGATACTAGAATGTCCAATTCATATGTTCATTTTTCACTTCACTGAAGTCATGTCTCCTTTGAGTTTTTCCAAAAATTTGACTGCATGAGCAGATTTCCATCGATTAATTTCCTGTAGGATTAAAATGGGAAAAGAAATACAATGTGATATAATTATATGTAAAACAGCAAGAAATTATTGCACAAAATAAATCTCAGGCTTTGCCATTCCCACAGAGCTACTCTTGAATATAATTGATAGGAAATGAAATGAATGTCCTTAGAGATTAGCTCTGCTGGAGTTTTATGTAAAGAAAGATACAGATTTTTTTTTTTTTAAGGAAATCAATTCTAAAAGCCTTAGGTAAGGAACAGATATAATTACTGTGCTCCTAGTTTCCAGATGAGAAGCTAACGGAGAACTTGTGTAGAGGCAGAATATAGTGCGCAAACAACAAATAAATGATTAGAATTACATCTGCAGGTTTGAATTTAGGTAAGCTCCCAAGTCTGTCAGATCTCTTTTAGGAATCATTTTTTCCTTTTTGTTTTCTTCAAGGACAAGTCTTCACAGAAACTTACTCTAAATTCCTCTCAGATTCTAGCACATGAATGAAGGTCATGAGCAGATCAAACCCCATGAAACCTCGTCGCCTTCTTGGTTGGAAAGCTGGATTCATGTTGCTCCCAGAGAGCCAGGGAAGGGCTGGGGGGAGCCTCGGCTCCTATGGAAGCAGAGCATTATCCGGTGTTTTCTCTTTGGGTTGCACAGGAAGTGGGCATCCCAAATGCTCTTCCATGAGAAATGGGCTGGCATATGACTCAGATTCACTCATCCTCATTTCTCACCAAGCGCAAATCATGTGCAGTTTAAAGGAGGTAAAAGCAATTCATGCCTTAATTATTCCCTAACATCTTTAGTTCTTGTTGAAATAACACAGCACTCTACCGTCTTATGATTTTAGCTTGTAAATTCTTCTACCGCTATAGTCTATTAAGTAGAGCTAAAGCATTTTTAACAGTTTTGTGTTTTCTGATATTTCTTGTGAGATGGGGTCAGATTTTATAACCCATTTCATTAACTTACTAAGATACGGTTAATAACTTCATTTGCACAAATATGGGGAAATTAAATGAGTCTAAAATTTGGTTCATCTGCCTTTCCCATGAATTTGAGACAGAGAGACAACCAGAGCATTAATCCTGACAATATGGAAATGTGTGCAATTTTGGGGGTGTGCCATATTTTATCATCTTCTAGGCATTTGTCCACACTGCCCTTCTGTTAGGTTTGCTTTACCCTGTGTAACGTCCATCTGTCCTTTAAGACTGATCCCACGTGATTTCAATTCTTGAAATCTCAGTCCCTATTGGATGCTGTGGCCTACACTAGCTTATAACTTGTTCATTGCAAATAAGCCAGGTGCAGAAACAAATACTGCATGTTCTCATTTGTATGTAGAAGGTTAAAAAGTTGATCTCATGGAAGTAGAGTGTAGAAGAATATTCATTAGAGCCTTGTAAGAGTAAGAGGAATTGAGGTTAGGAGGTCAGATAAGGGGTACAAAATTACAATTATGTAGGAGGAACAAACTCTAGGGTTATACAGCACAGCCAGGTGACTATAATTTATAATAACTTATTATATAATTTAAAATGAAATAGAAGAGAGGAGTTTGAAGTTCCCAACACAAAGAAACGATTGTCTAAGTAGATGGAAATGTTAATTATCTTGATCTGATCAACACACATTGTGTATATGCATTGAATTCTCATACAGTACCCCATAAGCATGCACCATTACTATGTGTTCACTAATATGCTCACCATCGTGACCCCATTCTGTTTCCTTTATTAGACCCTCGGTTTCCAGAGGATAGAATGAATTTTAATTAGTTACCCTTTTCCCCAACTAAGTTCTTTCTCTTCCCCAAAGACAAATGCAATGCAAATATTAACACTAACCTGGAATTTCTGCTTCAACAGAATTTAAAGGCATGTTTGCACCCTGTGAGAAGGAAAGTTGTATGTCAAATGAGTTTTTCTATGAATAAAAATATTAATACTACAATTTTCTAAACTTCAGACATTAAAATTAAGATGTTTCAGATTAAAATATCTTTTTATATTTATTTTCTTTTCATTGAAATTCACTTTGAAAATTTTGTAGTAAGTTGATCTTTTGTAATATTTATAAAAACTGATTTAAACTGTGTTGGTATTTCTGAATATTATTTGGTATTTTAAAAGGTGAAATATTACCTCATAAAGTGAGATATTTCTCTACCAAAATGAATAGCAAAAGTAGAAATAAAAATAAAGAGGGTGTGATCTTTCACTTGTGAAGACCATGACCAAATTCTTTTGTACATATAAAGGAAATTCTCCAAAATTGTCAACTATTTCTTTCTTTGACTTTTTCAGGTCTTAGAACATTGCCCAAGAGAGAATACAACTTCATCTGACATATACACTCAAACATAAGGAGATTAGTTTTCTTGAATATTTATATTTCAGGCAAGAGAACACATCCTATTTTCAAGTCCTTACAAAATCTCTCATACAGCACTAGGCATTCTCAAGTAAAGCAGTTTCCCTTGCTAACAAATAATTGAAGTTATAACTTTGATTACACATCTATGTGGAATGATAACAACCAGTAATAGGCTTGAGCAATTGTAGAAGTCACCTGACAGATGGAGTTAAAAAAGAAAGGAGGAATTCAAACCATGTGGATTTACTCCTTGTTATGGTTAAACCATAACAGTGTTGCTATCCTTCTAGATAAGATTATTTTAAAGAATAGATATAGAGGTTATGGTCAAGAGACTAAGAGTAATGAAGAATGAAAATGCACCTGTACCAATCTCATATGACTGAGTATTAGAATGTTAGAAGGTAGGATTGCAGAGCCAGTGGCAGCACCATAAATACACAAACACATGATGAATTTTAAACACCTTAGAAGATTCTTAGAGTAAAGCCATGTGCTTTAGAAAGCTGTGTCATGTGGATTTAAAAACAGTTTTAGTGATAAAAACTATTCTGTGAATTCATGAGTGAAATTAGAATGTTTTTTTCAGGAATGTAAGAATGGAAAAAATCAAAAGTTGTACGCATATGTAAATATGTCATATTATTTTAAATATTCTTGTGTACAAATTCAATAAATACTGTAAGTAGAAATTTGGCTATTTCATCTATGTTCATTACATTACACTAAATTGCGTTATAACTTTGGAAAATCTTTCATTGGGGAAACAGGACATAGATTTCTATCTGGAAATTCCCTTAAATTGGAAAAATGCAAAAGAAAAAAAATTCTGTTATGTAATTCAGTCTCTTCTATATGTCCAGTTGAGAAAGCTAGAATTTTATACGCTTTTCTTTCTCTTTGAGTTTAATTGAGCTCAGAGCAATAAACATTCCCAGCACAGTTCACATTAGTACCGACAGAAAAATTAAAAACCGAATTCTCACCTTTGTCAGTCGGCTAATACAATAAGAAATAAGGAGGATAACTCCAACGATACCAGCAATCACACCAAAAATAATGGGTATTATCACTATGACAGAAAAGGAGAGGAAGGAATTTAAAACTTGTGAAATAAATTACCATATAATAACTGAAAAATAAGCAGATAATCTAAAGACACTACGACTTTGCCTTTTCCTAGAAATACATTAATACTGTTTATTTCCATTTTTCTACTCAAAAATTGTTTTTTCATAGTAATTTGTGGGAAACTGGAATTTTGAGTGACCATTTTTTTTGTCCAAAGCTGCACAACTACTCCAGCACAGAACCCAGAGCTGAAAGTTCTATTTCTGTGTCTAGTATTCTTTATGTGTTTAAACATAAGAGCTATGTGGACTTCTACTTGGACATGGGAAAATCACAAATTCTTCTAGTTTGAACATTATGAAATAAAATAATATCTTAATGTATAACAGGGTACCAGATGAATCGTAGGATCAGAAGTTGGCAGAAAAGCTGGTGTTACCAGTTTATAAATGAGTAAATTGTGGGGAGCAACTCAGACTAGACTAAGTTACTGGAATTAAGACTTATTCTATGCATCTGCTCTCCCACAATATGGCGCTGAGAAGGGAGTAAACAACTTCTATGCAGCTGCCTCTCACCAACTTGAGTGATGACCTGCAGGAGCTGATCCTGCTCCTGATTGGGGGAGAGCAGCGTACTCGGCATGTGGGTAGCAGAGTTGGGATTGGTGGAAGAGGACTATAAAGGAGGAGAGAGACAACATGCACCAGGAACATCTAAGGGGAACACCTGAAAGAACACCTGAGCAGCCCCCGAGAGAGCCGGCCGGCGGTGTGCCGCTCCCCTGCGGAAGTGGGGAAAGTGGCAGGGGGGCCCGCCCCTCCACGGAGGTGGAGGGACGGCAGCCAACCCAGGAAGAACCAGCAGCAAACCCGGGGAGGGCCGAGCAGGCAAAAGAACACTAGTGTCGTTCCTCCGTGAAGAGGGGGAGCGACAGTAAATGAGGTTAAGGTACTTAACCTAGGTCAGACAACCAGGGTACAATTATGAGAATAATCCTGGTCACCTATATTCTATGCTTATGTTCCTTCTGCAGTATTCATATGCACAGTCACTAATATAGGCACTAAAATTATTTTTCATATCTGGAAATGAAGCAATTTAAATCAATTAAGTTAGAGGACCCCCCTTCCCCCCCCCCCACACTCAGTTTTCTGTGGTGATTTCAAGTAAAGTAAATAGAAGCTAGGATTAGATACACAGGTAAACAGCACATTTATGTGCTAATTTGTCAGTCATACTATTGACAATAATATATAAATACCTTTTTAAAAAAGATTATTTATTTTGAAAATCAGATTTATAGAGAGGAGGGGGAGAGAAAGAGGAAGAATCTTCCATCTGCTGGTTCACTTACCAGATAGCCCCAGTGGCCAGCTCTGGGCCAGGCAGAAGCCACAAACTTCACCCAGGTCTTCCACATTAGTAGCAGGGGCCCAAACACTTGACCCATCTTTTGCTGCTTTCCCAGGTGCATTAGCAAGGATCTGGATCTGAGAGTGGAGCAGCAGGGATATGTACCAGTGCCCCTTTGGGATGCCATTATCACAAGTGGTGGTTTTATGCACTGTGCCACAACACCAGCCCCTAAATAATTTTTTAGAAGTAGCTTTTCCTCTCTCTGATACTGCCAACCCTTCTTAAGCATTTAGCTTTAATGTATGAGACAGCAGTGCAGTCCTACAATTTATTCTTTCCCTGTGTGAGATATGGACACAGACCAACCGTGAAGAGTTAGAAAGGCAGAATAGTAGCTGGGCACATAAGTAACTGAAGCCAAATCTACAGTGGCATCTAAGTGAGAGGAGTGACATTACCAGTAACAGGGGAGGTTGTGGTGATATCCCCAAAGTGGTAACCTGTGGCCAAAAATGAGTCAGAATTGAGATGTGAGTGGTATGTATTATTTCTTTAAAACATAGTATCAACTACTTAGATGATTGTAAGCTCCTAGATTTCTGTACAGTAGGAATGAAGGAAATTGTTTTATAAGCTTTGAAGAGCCTTCTCAAGTACTTATGGTCAATTAGAAAGCTAAAATAATCGAACTTAAGAGAAAAATTATTTTCAAATAACATATGATTGTTTCCAAAATGCTTAGAAAACAAGAAATGCAGGGCTGGTGCTGTGGCATAGCAGGTAAATCCGCTGCCTGCAATGCTGGTATCACATGTGGGCACTGGTTTGAGTCATGGCTGCTCCACTTCCAATCCAGCTCTCTGCCATGGCCTGGAAAGGCAGTACAAGATAGGCCAAGTCCTTGGGCCCCTGCACCCACATGGGAGACTCAGAAGAAGCTCCTGGCTCCTGGCTTCAGATTGGCACAGCTCCAGCCGTTGCAGCCAATTGGAGAGTGAACAAGTAGATGGAAGACCTCTCTCTCTCTCTGCCTCTCCTTCTCTCTCTGTGTAACTCTGACTTTCAAACAAACAAATAAATAAATAAATAAATTCTTTTTTTTTATAACAAAAGAAAACACTGGGGCCGGCGCCGTGGAAAAGTAGGTTAATTCTCCGCCTGCAGAGCCGGCATCCCATATGGGCGCCAGTTCTAGTCCCGGCTGCTCCACTTCTAATCCAGCTCTCTGCTATGACCTGAGAAATCAGTAGAAGATGGCCCAAGTCCTTGGGCCCCTGCACCTGTGTGGGAGACCAGGAAGAAGCACCTGGCTCCTGGCTTCGGATTGGTGCAGCTCCGGCCGTTGTGGCCATTCCAGGAGTGAACCAATGGAAGAAAGATGTTTCTCTCTGTCTCTCCCTTTCACTGTCTGTAACTCTCTCAAATAAAATCTTAAAAAAAAAAAGAAGAAATGGAAATTTTACAATCTGATGTGACAAAAATTAGCAATATCTGCTCTTCTCTTTTAAAATTGTCACTCCCAAGGCAGACAGTTTGTCACAGAATGTTGATCCACCTCTTTGGATGCCCGAGTTCAAGTTCCAGCTCTCCTGTTTCTGATCCAGCTTCCTGCTAGGGTGTCTGGGAAGGCAGCAGAAGATAGCTCAAGTACCTGTGTCCCTGCCACCTCATGGGAGACTAGGGTGGAGTTCTTGGCTCCTGGCATTAGCCTCTTCCAACTCTCTCTACTGTGGGCATTTGGAGAGAGGACCAGAAGATAAATGTCTCTTTTTCTGTCTCTCCCTCTCATTCTCTGTCACTCTGCCTTTCAAATAAATAACTAGGTGAATTAAATAAATAAATAATTTTTCAAAATAGACACTCCCTATTTTCCTAGGCTTTAAATAACAATTCATATTTAAGGTGGAATGATTATAATTCCATAATAAATATTAGCATACCTGGTTCTGACAAAGCATGATTATATTGTTGTCTTGTTTCTGAAAGATAAAATTTCAAAACAAATCAGAATATATAGGTAAATCTAAAATAGTCATTTTGCAATTAGACTATTTAGGGGTTTTCATTTTTCAACCAAATTTGAGAGTTATTGGTCAACTTTCTACATTTAGCTAGTAAAAATTATAAAGTGTCAGTCTTACCAGTAGCAATTCTAGGAATCTACTTTTAATTACCCAACAATTGTTCATGTGTGAGAAATTGGCAAACATCTCATAAACTAAGGGGAAAGGAATGAGAAAATATTGGAAAAATAATTATTTGACTTCTACCAGAAGCAGTGATTTTTTTTTTAAATGTCAAAACAGTCAGAAGAAAGGAGACAGGTTCCTCATCACGCCACACAGACTCCAGCCCAACACAAAGAAGGTGGCTGGCTGTCACTTTCCAGATTTATGTCAGAGATACTGTGGGAATGTAAACCTTATTGTGCCTCCTTCAAGCTCCTGCCAATTGTCCCCCAGTTTTCCTGTCTGTAGAAGTCTCTAGGGTGGTTGCCTTAATGTTCCACCTGAGCTCACCTCCCTCCTCAGTCCGCATGTTAGATTTCTCTCTCTCTCTGTCTGCACATGCCATTTTACATCTCAAAGCCCTCTTAATACTAGGGCCACATTGTGTTCTTGAATTTAATTACCATAAATTTCATATCACACTCTATTATATAATAAGGCCAAGGACTTAGTTATGTTTTGTCATTCTCTAGGAGTTAGATATAAAATTCAACAGGGCTTGACTTCTGTCTCTTTTTGGCACTCAATGATTATGGTTCATATATGATTAGTATATACTGTAGTACATGATCAATGTTGTGGTTTGTATACAGTTGCAGTGAGTACATGCGGTTAGTACACGTGGGCTCATCCTGCAAGGCCTGCGCCATCGGGGAGAGTAGGGCGATGGTGTTCTTCCACAAGAAGCACCAGGGACAGGCTTTGGTGAACATGTCTGCTTTATTAACGACCAAGCAGAAAGCAGACAGAGGGAGCCTAACTAATTGAGGGCAATACTAATTCCATAGGTTGAAGCTGATATTGGCACTGCTATGCGTGCCCAATCAGCTTGAAGGTCACATAGCTAGGATGGCTTTCCAGGTGGCCTGGCCACACCTAGAAACAGTTTACCTGCTTGCTGGGGGTGGGGAGAAATGTGCCTGGGGCTCCCACTGCCAGCCAGCAGCCAGGCTGGGGGGGGGTCTCTCCCAGAGGACACAGCGCTCCATGCCCTCTCAAGATCTTGCATGGTCAGGGCAGGCAACCTCACAGGATCACCCACAAGCACATACTGTAATATACAGTCAATGCTGGTAGTTAGTGTGAGGAGTCTTCAAAAAGTTCATGAAAGTGAATACAATGAAGAAACTAGGAATGGATTTCAAAAATTTTGCAACAAAAAAACCTATATTTTAATTCTATTTTCTATGAATTTTTGGAAATACCCTCATTTAAAGGGCTTGGGAAAAAAAGGTGGACTTTCAGTCGTGAGGATGCCCCTGACTTGTTATGGGTTCTCATGAGGATGAGATTAGGTCACACATGTAAACACTCAGTGCAATGCCCCACCATGCAGTCATCATTTATAGGACACCGGGCATGTAGCCCTTCAGTGCTTCCCATATCACACCATCACGTTGGCTTCACTTGGAAATCATTTGAAAGTGAAGTTGTCTAACTGGACCCAGGAGCTTAATAACTACTTCTGATTTCTCTAATGTCATCCCAATTTCCCTCCCTTGGCTTTTGTTCTACTTAAAACCCATTGCCTCCGTTGGTCTCTGTGCATTTGCTCAACAATTCTATTAGCTTGTGGTCCTGTGGCCTCTCTAAGTCTTCTTTCAGGTTGTATTTTAAATCTGGGGTATCCTTCTTGAATCCCACATAGAGAAGATCCCCCTGCCCTTTCTACTATAAAGCCATGTTCTCCCTAGAAAAATAATGAGAGGGAGTGAACACTCTCTGACCATGCTGATCTCAGCACACAGCTTGGCTTACAGATATCATCTATGAGGGACTGATGCTATGTCAGGCTCTGAGCTTAACACTTATGCATACATCGTCTTATTCAATCTTTAGAGAAACACTGCAAGGCAAGGATTACTGGTCCCACTTTGAAATTTAGACAGGGAGTTCACCCCTGGGTCAGTAGCTGGCACAGGACCAGCCCAGCCCTGAGCCCATCTGGATTTTCCCACTGGTCCTCTTCATCCATCACTGCATTATGGGACCCCTTCATCAGGTCACCATTTCATTCATTCCTTCTGTGCTCCCTTAGATTATTTTGTTTTCCTTAACCATAGGATTATTTCTGTGAGATATCTCAGAAGTGAGCATTGTCCTGCAGTAGGGACCGTCAACTCAGCTTCCATTTCTTGTTTGTCACAGTGTCCATACAATGGCAGGTCCCATTCAATACAGTGGTGTTCCAAAAGGGACTCCAGAGAAACCATACAAGAATAAAAACAAACCTGGCTTTTCTACAGAACCATTGCCATTTCCACGTTCTGTTTCGTTGAGAGCTTTGACAGGTGTTCTGAGCTGTGTGGAAACAACATCTGTAAAAACAAAAGTTGAGAAAGGGATCAAGGATGGGTTGGTGGAATGGACCACGAAGCATACAGAGAAACAAACTTACCCCACATCCCTCCCAGGGGCAGCTCCAGAACTCCACATCACAAGGACTTATAGACCACACCTGCCTCAGAAGTCATTGTGAGGACTGGGCTTGTTACAGACATGCCTGGTGTGTGTGCATGCACATGAGCCTGTCAGGTCATACAATAGAGTACGTGGCACACAATCAGTGTGACGCACATATTAGCTACTACTATTGTCATTCTTATGAAAGGGTAACTTGGAGCTGCACTTGGGAAATCGTCCGTGATAAAGACACATGGAAACTCGTTAGGACTGTCCAAGGACTAAAGTTCTGCCCTAGACCTGCCTGTCACCATCTCTGAGGAACAAACCTATTTACCCCATACGAACTAAAGCAAAAATAAAACACCATCGATTCAACTTTCTTCAAGATCCCTAAACGGTGAATCTTTTCTCAAGTTCCCTGCTCATATTTCTTTTTTTAATTTATTTTTATTTATTTGAAAGTCAGAGTTATACAGAGAGAGGAGAGGCAGGGACAAAGAGAGAGAGAGAGAGTGAGAGAGATTGAGTTCTTCCATCTGATGATTCACTCCCCAGTTGGCTGCAATGGTCAGAGCTGCGCCAATCCGAAGCCAGGAGCCAGGAGCTTCTTCCAGGTCTCCCATGCACATGCAGGGGCCCAAGGATTTGGGCCATCTTCTACTGCTATCCCAGGCCATAGCAGAGAGCTGGATTGGAAGTAGAGCAGCTGGGACTAGAACCGGCGGCCATATGGGATGCCAGCACTTCAGGCCAAGGCGTTAACCTGTTGCGCCACAGTGCAGGCCCCATCATATTTCTTTTCATTCATTCAGTAGCAGCATTGCAGCATTGTAATGCAATTGCATTGAATGTTGGCTCCAGTCCTGGATGACTGGCAAGGACAGTGAACCAAGTGATGTAGCAGGTTTTAGTTACTGTCTACTCTCTAGTGTAAAATATAACCATGGTAACCTGAAGACAGAATTTGAGTTCTAGTACTGTCTTTAAATCTCACTAAATGAAGTACAGGTCATTTTTATAATTGAACAATAGTTTATTTTAAAATTAATTCTATACATTTACATTCATAAGCTTTACAAATGAGGCAAGATTTTTCTGTTGCAATAGTAATATAGATATGGGGCACACTGTGGCTCAGTGATTAATTCACTGCCTGCAGTGCCAACATCCCATATGGGCATGGCCTGTGTACCAGCTACTCCACTTCTGATCCAGCTCCCTGCTAAAGTGCCTTGGAAAGCAAAGGAAGATGATCCAAGTCCTTGGGACCTGGCAGCCACATGGAGAACTGGATGTAGCTCCGGGTTCCTGGCTTTTGCCTGGCCCAGCTCCAGTTATTGTAGCTGTTTGCTGAGTAAATCTGAAGTTTGAAGATCAATCTCTCTCTTTTCCTTCCCTCCACTTTGTAACTCTGACTTTCAAATAAATAAAATAAATCATTTTTTGTAAAAAAGTAATATGGATTCAACAAAGATAATTTATGAAACACAAGAAAGCTCAAAGAACTATACAAATTTCATCTATATTCAAACTATCCAATGGTAAACACTAGAGATATTCTGGTGTATAGTCATCTGAACTTTCAGCTAGTATATCTAAATGTGGGATCATTATAATTAAATGTGTCTGAATCTGTAGTAATGTTTAGAAGATGAGTTTCCTGTTTAATATACTACATACATTCCTGAGTTGTCAAATGCTCAGATTTTTAATGGCTGCGTAGTATTCTGCTGCACGAACGTACTGTAGGTATCCTCCCCTGAGCTTTCATGTTATTTTCTACTCTTCTGGGGGTCATCACCTGTTTTGAGGTTCAGGTCAGGTCAGGTTGGGGGCATTGCAAGGTCTGCGTAGCAGCAATGGGTGATTGAGAAGGAGAGGAATAGAGAAATGGGTGAAAAGGCAGGGGCAAGGCTGAAGAAGCAGAGAACACCCAGCATCGTGGGCCCTGTTATAGAACTTGAGCTTTATCCTTAGGGAAGTGGAAAGACTAAAGAACTTGAACCACATTTTCACTGGGGAAGCTCACTGTCAGTCACGGGGAGGATGGCACAGGAAAAGAGCGCATGCCCCAAGCTCTGCATCGAGGACCCCACCTTGTGTCCCAGAGTGGCCCAGATAAGCAGGTGCTTGACCAACAAGCCACTCCTCCCTGCACAGCCCTTATCACATCTTGACATTGCCTTTGGCAGAGAAGGCCTGGAACCAGAGAGCTTTAGGGTAAGAAAATGTAGCAATTTATAAAAAAACATAGCCAAGACCCTACAGCGGGATGTAACATCTCTAACAACTGGCACTGTGAAGCTTTTACTTTTAAAAAGTCAGAAACGTGGAAAATATTTTTAAATTCATAAGAAAAATATGTGCAACAGTTTGGTACTAAAACAATAAAATGCTTCAGGAGAGAGAGCCCATTCAGATATGTGTTGAACTTTAAAAAAATTATTTGCAGAATCATTTATCATGGAGAAAGTCCAGAAATGATCTAAAATATTAGTTTCTAGAAAACTAGCTACATCAACTGTGGTACAAGTCAGTGCAGCACGGTACTTGCTGGTGTCCAGATAAAACTCTGGGAATATGCTCTTGATTCCTCCCAGTTTCTCACTCCCCACCAAATGAATATCAGGTGTAAATCCTTCAAATATGTTTAGAATCTGACTGGTTCTCATTACTGCCACAGCCACAACCTGACCTCAGGCCTCCATCATGTTTCGTACAGACGTTTGCCATTGTCTTTCACCAGATCTCCGTGTTTTCATCTCGTCCCTTCTAGCTATGGTGGCATCCTTGCTGCTCCTTGAGCCTATTAATTGCATTCCTACCTCAGGGCCTTTGTATCTCCTGTTCCTGATGCTTGTAATTCTCTTTCTACCATGTTCTGGTAGCGCCTTAACTTTATCCAAACACCTTTAATCCTGTAGTGACCAGGTAGATCTGCTTCTTTTGCAACAGCTATTTCTTACAGGACAGAAACATTTCATAAGCATTTTGATATGAAGAAGTAGAAGCTGAAACTCCAGAAATAAAAACATTGTACTCAGGTTTACAGAGTAAGATTTATACACTGACAGTAACATTAAAATTTGTCCCAAGTTAGACCATGGTGTCAGCCTTCATCTATACAACTCCCTGCCTTGCTTCTATAAAGCTCTAAGCTATTATCAGAACCTGAGCATTTCTAACATTAAAGGAAGCACAATGTGTAGAGGAACAAAGGCCTTGAGATGATTTCCAAAACTGGCACACACTTTGCCCGAGTTCCATCTGAGCAAGTTCTGTTGTGTTTGTACCCTTAGAAAAACCTGATTGGCTGCCACATTGAGAACTAATATGCCACTTGCACTCTTGCCAATAGCCTGTTTTAATTCTCCAGATATAGCTGCTTTGATACAATTTCTTTTTATAGCTACTTAAGTCAACACCATGAGGAAATAGATACATAAATGTCCTAAAATCTGTTTGATAAAACGTGCTTTCAACATCATTCCCTCAACAATCGAGTAATGATAGTTGACCAATAAGAAACATTTTAGACAAATTTTTCACTTTTATTTTCTGAAAGAAAAAGAATCACCTTGTTAGCATTTCAATAGGAATGAACACCTGCGCTTGCTTACTGGTAAGAGAAGGGCACAGACACTAGCTGCTGAATGTGCAGTTATAGAACAGTGCAGCTTGAAAGAACAACACTTCTGGTCACAAAAATAAGCTTTTATGGTTTCTAATATTTAATTAAGACTTTTCCTGTCATTCCAATATAAATTCACCTGGGACAATTAAAAAAAATGTTATCAATAGCTTCAACTTAAATGAATCTGTACTTGGTTGGAAAGAAATAACATTATTTACCCAAAAGGAGAATCAAGATCAGTATCATTTTATACAGCCTCCTTGTGGAATTCAAAGTAAGGAAACCAAAATTGTCCAACATGTTCCCCCCTCCCACAAACCATCAGGAATATCCAAAAACTGTTAGCAACAGCCCACATGTCTACCTGCCTCCCCACGTTCCCAACACCCTAATCAGCCAATAAAAGCTTTGAACATCTTCAGTTCTGCAAGGCTGTACAATATCTGTAGAAAAGTAAATTCTGAACACAACTTTTTACTATAGCATCTATACTTTGGTGAACTGTATGGAAAAGTTTCAAGCAAATCTGCAACAATTCAAGAGCAAACACACTTTGCCTAACCCTTTTAGAGACTGGAAGATGTGAAGGATCTCTCCTGCTTTTTTGTATTGTTTTATGCTCTGGGCCACTAGCCTTCTGTAGGTGAATCAGCTTTCAAAAATATTTTGTCTCATTCCCAGATTAAATACTAACTCAAATATTTTCCCAATGAACTCAGAATTTCCATAAGCTACAGGACTATTTTACAGAACATTGAATCGATTTCCTGACTTTACAGGTAATCTTTGATGTCATAAAAAAAATTGAACAGAGCAACACAGCTGATTCTCATATTATTCCCAATCTTCCCTCTCCTCCTGCCCACCTCCTCTCCAACCAGATCTCAATGCCTGGTTGAGTCTTTGTCAACAAGATTTCTTTGATATAGCGTATTGCTCAGTGAGCAGTTGTATGCAAAAAAGGACAACTAAAGTCCTTGAGATTCCTGGACATTGTAAGAGTTAAACTTTTTAATAATAATCACATAATCTTCATTTTGATTTTCACACAAATTTATTAGTGTGATTATACCTCTTATCCTCAGTTTTCTCTTGCTATAGCTACTAAGAGAAACTTGTTTATGGAAGTCATTTTCTTCACCTCTTCAAGCCAGGACACAGCCAGACTTAACCTGAAACATTCCACTTCTCTCCAAGTGCAGCATATTTATCTTTTGGTATGGGAGAAGATAAGGCCAGCATCTGGCTACCCAGGAACAATGGGCCTTGTGCCAACCCTGCACATTCCTTAGATACACTGGCTTCTGAAAACCTTATTCAAGTCCTTACTTTAAGCCTCCTTGCAGACAGTTGCTGGCTGGACCTGGAAGGAAAGGTAGTTTCAGATGGAGATGAGGGTTGGGAAGTAAGATGAAGAAATGGCTGGGTTGACAAATGGAGGAAGGAGAGTGTAATGTGCATATACCTGGAGTTGGGGGGGGGATAATCATCAGGCTAAGCTTTGCAGACCTCAGAGACTGGCACAAAATAAAATGAAAAGATAGGTTTGGTCAGATTCACAAGGCCCCAAACTGTCAATTTACTTTTTTTTTTCTTTAAGATCCTAGGCACTGCAATGGCATTGACTGTGATACTTTATAAAAAATACTACACACCTATAATCTGAACTAAATAATTTAATCCTGAGTTTGGGAAACTTGATTGGCATTGATTGGCATACCCCTAGAAAATGCAATCTTCCAAAAATGCATGCCTAGCTCATCTCATAGCTAGAAGGTGTCTGCTACCATTCCCATCAGGCAAAGTGATGGGTGACTTGTGGGCCAAGAATATATTAGGGCTGCAATTGGGAATAGAGGAGACACCTGTAGCTATAGACTCTTTGCTCCATCCACTGGACCACATGGCTTTCCTAAACAATGGATGTTTCTAATGTGAAATGTTAGTAACAAGAAGGTAAGTAAAATGTGACACTGGACAAATATCCTACACTTTTTCTGTATGCAAAGCTTCCTGTAGCTGAGCTGATGTCTTGATGTGATAAAGTCAACTCCTGCAGCCACTGGCTGGGTTTTGGTTTCCTCCCAATGTGTAATTGATAAAAGTCTTATCTTGCAAAGCAAAAGTTTATAAAGAAACACTCTGTGTATGAAATGGCTTGAGTAGTATCCAAGTGAGAATGCTGAATTTTCCAAGTGTGACTAGAACTGTGCTTGTTTTGTCATTCTCTAGGAGTTAGATATAAAGATGAACAGGGCTAGACTTCTGCTTCTTTTTGGCATTCAGTGATTGCAGTTCATTGAAGATAAGCATATACTCTAGTAAATGATCAATGGCTGTAGATCGTACGTAATTACAGTGAGTACAGGTGGGTAGTACGTACTATAATATTTAGTCAATACTTGCAGATAGTATGAGGCGACTTCAAAAAGTTCATGAAAGTAAATACAATGAAGAAACTAGGAATGGATTTCAAAAATTTTTGCATCAAAATAGACTCATATTTTAATTCTATTTTCTATGAATTTTTGGAAATACCCTCATTTAAAGGGCTTGGGAAAAAAACGGCTAATTTCAATGCAGATGGTGCCCCTGACTTGTTATGGATTCTCATGAGGATGAGATTAGGTCACACATGTAAACACTCAGTGCAATGCCCCACCATGCAGTCATCATTTATAGGACACCGGGCATGTAGCCCTTCAGTGCTTTCCAGTATCACACCATCACGTTGGCTTCACTTGGAAATCATTTGAAAGTGAAGTTGTCTAACTGGACCCAGGAGCTTAATAATTACTTCTGATTTCTCTAATGTCATCCCAATTTCCCTCCCTTGGCTTTTGTTCTACTTAAAACCCATTGCCTCCGTTGGTCTCTGTGCATTTGCTCAACAGTTCTATTAGTTTGTGGTCCTGTGGCCTCTCTAAGTCTTCTTTCAGGTTGTATTTTAAATCTGGGGTATCCTTCTAGAATCCCACATAGAGAAGATCCCCCTGCCCTTTCTACTATAAAGCCATGTTCTCCCTAGAAAAATAATGAGAGAGGGAGTGAACACTCTCTGACCATGCTGATCTCAGCACACAGCTTGGCTTACAGATATCATCTATGAGGGACTGATGCTATGTCAGGCTCTGAGCTTAACACTTATGCATACATCGTCTTATTCAATCTTTAGAGAAACACTGCAAGGCAAGGATTACTGGTCCCACTTTGAAATTAAGACAGGGAGTTCACCCCTGGGTCAGTAGCTGGCACAGGACCAGCCCAGCCCTGAGCCCATCAGGATTTTCCCACTGGTCCTCCTCATCCATCACTGCATTATGGGACCCCTTCATCAGGTCACCATTTCATTCATTCCTTCTGTGCTCCCTTAGATTATTTTGTTTTCCTTAGCCATAGGATTATTTCTGTGAGATATCTCAGAAGTGAGCATTGTCCTGCAGTAGGGACCGTCAACTCAGCTTCCATTTCTTGTTTGTCACAGTGTCCATACAATGGCAGGTCCCATTCAATACAGTGGTGTTCCAAAAGGGACTCCAGAGAAACCATACAAGAATAAAAACAAACCTGGCTTTTCTACAGAACCATTGCCATTTCCACGTTCTGTTTCGTTGAGAGCTTTGACAGGTGTTCTGAGCTGTGTGGAAACAACACCTGTAAAAACAAAAGTTGAGAAAGGGATCAAGGATGGGTTGGTGGAATGGACCACGAAGCATACAGAGAAACAAACTTACCCCACATCCCTCCCAGGGGCAGCTCCAGAACTCCACATCACAAGGACTTATAGACCACACCCGCCTCAGAAGTCATTGTGAGGACTGGGCTTGTTACAGACATGCCTGGTGTGTGCATGCACATGAGCCTGTCAGGTCATACAATAGAGTACGTGGCACACAATCAGTGTGACGCACATATTAGCTACTACTATTGTCATTCTTATGAAAGGGTAACTTGGAGCTGCACTTGGGAAATCGTCCATGATAAAGAGACATGGAAACTCGTTAGGACTGTCCAAGGACTAAAGTTCTGCCCTAGACCTGCCTGTCACCATCTCTGAGGAACAAACCTATTTACCCCATACAAATTAAAGCAAAAATAAAACACTATCGATTCAACTTTCTTCAAGATCCCTAAACGGTGAATCTTTTCTCAAGTTCCCTGCTCATATTTCTTTTCATTCATTCAGTAGCAGCATTGCAGCATTGTAATGGAATTGCATGGAATGTTGCCTCCAGTCCAGGATGACTGGCGAGGATACAGTGAACCAAGTGATGTAGCAGGTTTTAGTTACTGTCTACTCTCTAGTGTAAAATATAACCATTGTAACATGAAGACAGATGTGAGTTCTAATACTGTCTTTTCAAATCTCACTAAATGAATTTTAAGTCATTTTTATAATTGAACAATAGTTTATTTTAAAATTAATTCTATACATTTACATTCATAAGCTTTACAAATGAGGCAAGATTTTTCTGTTGCAAAAGTAATATAGATATGGGACACACTGTGGCTCAGTGATTAATCCACTGCCTGCAGTGCCAACATCCCATATGGGCATTGCCTGTGTACCAGCTGCTCCACTTCTGATACAGCTCCCTCCTAATGTGCTTGGTTAGCAATGGAAGATGATCCAAGTCCTTGGAACCTTGTAGCCATGTGAGAGACCAGGATGTAGCTCTTGGCTCCTGGCTTTGGCCTGGCCCAACCCCAGCTCTTGGGGCCATTTGCTGAGTAAACCAGCAGTTGAAAGATCAATCTCTCTCTCTTTTCCTTCCCTCCACTTTGTAACTCTGACTTTCAAATAAATAAAATAAATCCTTTTTGTAAAAAAGTAATATAGATTCAACAAAGATAATTTATGAAACACAAGAAAGCTCCTAGAACAGTACAAAATTCATCTATAATCAAACTACTGATAGTTAAACAATGGATCATTCTGGTGTATAGCCATCTGAACTTTCAGCTAGTATATCTGAATGTGGGATCATCATAATTAAATGTGTCTGAATCTGTAGTAATGTTTAGAAGATGAGTTTCCTGTTTAATATACTACATACATTCCTGGGTTGTCAAATGTTCTTCTCCACCCAGATTTCTTTTTTTAAAGATTTATTTGTTTATTTGAAAGTCAGAGCTACACAGAAGAGAAAGAGAGGCAGAAAGAGAGAGATGGGTGCCCTCCCTCTGCTGGTTCACTCCCCAGCTGGCCGCAATGGCTGAGGCTGTACTGATCCAGATAAGATTTTTGATGACTGCATAGTATTCTGCTGCACGAACGTACTGTAGGTATCCTCCCCTGAGCTTTCATGTTATTTTCTACTCTTCTGCGGGTCATCAACTGTTTTGAGGTTCAGGTCAGGTCAGGTTGGGGGCATTGCAAGGTCTGCGTAGCAGCAGTGGGAGATTGAGAAGGAGAGGAATAGAGAAATGGGTGAAAAGGCAGGGGCAAGGCTGAAGAAGCAGAGAACACCCAGCATCGTGGGCCCTGTTATAGAACTTGAGCTTTATCCTTAGGGAAGTGGAAAGACTAAAGAACTTGAACCACATTTTCACTGGGGAAGCTCACTGTCAGTCGTGGGGAGGATGGCACAGGAAAAGAGCGCACGCCCCAAGCTCTGCATCAGAGGACCCCACCTTGTGTCCCAGAGTGGCCCAGATAAGCAGGTGCTTGACCAACAAGCCACTCCTCCCTGCACAGCCCTTATCACACCTTGACATTGCCTTTGGCATAGAAGGGCTGGAACCAGAGAGCTTTAGGGTAAGAAAATGTAGCAATTTATAAAAAAACATAGCCAAGACCCTACAGCGGGATGTAACATCTCTAACAACTGGCACTGTAAAGCTTTTACTTTTAAAAAGTCAGAAACGTGGAAAATATTTTTAAATTCATAAGAAAAATATGCGCAACATTTTGGTACTAAAACAAGAAAATGCTTCAGGAGAGAGAGCCCATTCAGATGAGTTTTGGACTTTTTTTTAAAAAAAACATTTTCATCAGTCAAGGAGATGGGGTGAACTGTGGGCCCAGAATTTATTAAGGCTACAGAGAAAGGTCTTCCTTCCATTGGTTCACCCCACAAATGGCCACCACGAAGCCAGGAGCCAGGTGCTTCCTCCTGGTCTCCCATGAGGGTGCAGGGCCCAAGCACTTGGGCCATCCTCCACTGCCTTCCTTGGGCCATAGCAGAGAGCTGGACTGGAAGAGGAGCAACCGGAACTAGAATCCGGAACCCATATGGGGTGCTGGCACCGCAGGCAGAGGATTAATCAAGTGAGCCACAGTGCCAGCCCCAGCAATTGATGTTTCTAATGTGAAATGTTATTAACAAGAGAGTAAGCAAAATGTGACATTGGACAAATATCCTACTCTCTTGCTGTATGCAAAACTTTCTGTAGCTGAGCTGATGTCTTGATGTGATAAAGTTAACTCCTGCAGTTACTGGTTGGGTTTTTGGTTCCCTCCTGGCTTGTAGTTGATAAAAGTCTTATCTTGCAGAAGCAAAAGTTTACAAGGATACATCCTGCATATGAAATGAGGAGTTTCCAAGAAAGAACACTGAATTTCCTAAGTGTTATGATTTATTGGCATTGTGATAGCCATGAAAACCCATGGATACATTTTTTGTGAAAGTTTTGCACAGCTAATTTATGAAAAACAGAGACAGAAACATATCCACTCATGTCCTACTTTATGCCTTTCTGCACAATCTAATTGTCTTGCACAGAATGTAGGTAAAAATGGGAATTTTTCCTGTGCCAAAAGATGTTTGAAGAAGTTAATTGCCAGGAAGTAATATTTTAAAGGGGGGCATTCAGTTTTGTTCTTGAACCAAAGCATTGACAAAATCAGTTGGATCAAGTTTTAATAATATAGTCATACATTTTTATTTTCGGGAAGGATTTTATTATGCCAAAGCAGCTAATGACAATTTAGAAAAACTGAACTTTCTCAAGGACAAAGTGTTTCATGTGATAATATTTGGGTCCAGAATGTTGGATAACTCTCACTCATTTTTGTTAGAATTCTTTAGTCAATAGTTCTTAAAGGAGAGCACAACCTATTGACTTGTGCTATTAGTCAATAAGGTATCAAATACAAGGATCAGTTTCTACTCCTCTGCAGATAGGCATGCATCACTGTGCACCTATTGGTCACACTCTTACCTCTCCCAACTTGAGAGATATCCAAGAGACATCACACCTGATGAGAGCCTCAAAGGTATAGTGGTCCACGAGGGCAGGAGCTTCCCTCTAGGTCCCCTGAAACTCAGTATTGTTCACTGAGCTTTTAGCCATCCTCACTGTCCCAAACCATGACAGAGGCAGTAGTGGTAGACAAAGAAATCAGTCTATAGCCTCAGCTAATGCACCTTCTTCTATCTAGGCAGACAGAAATCCAGGGACAGTTCTGTCTTCTGTTCCAGTGAGAAAGGAAGTTGGAGTTCTAGTCCTGGCTTTGACACCAAATGGCTGGGGAATTTGAATCAGTCACTGAATTTATCTAAGCCTCAATTTCACCTCTAACATGACACTAATAAAACACATGTCTTAAAGGTACTTCACCATTTCAAAATCCTAGAAATATGTATGTTCATGATGATAATATTCACAGCTAACACTAGTCACTTACTACATTTCAGACACCATCTCTTTCCATTTTCAATATAATTTATTGCAGGCCTATTATTATGTATTAATTATTATTTATAGAGGAAAAAAACAAAGATCAGAAACATTGCCTCAATTACCCCGGGTCCTGTAGCTGTTAAGGGGCAGAGTAGGATTTTGAATTCAGGTTTAATTGCACAAGTTTCTGTCAAGGTCTACCACGATCTTATGCAGAATAAAAAGAATGAGTGCACCAGTAAGTTTCTTTACCGGTAGATTAGATTACATAGTCACTAATTTCCAATGCAACTTCAAGCAGGCTCTCACTTTGAACAAATCAAAGTAAGTGGTATATCAGTGTTAGCTGTTATTATTCATAACATAACTAGAAATGAATCCTAATTTATTATATATAAATCTAGAGGCGGATTCCTATGGTGTCCCACAAAATTCTAGTATTGAAACTTAATCATTAATGTAATAGCACTAGGAAATGAGGATGCTAACAGATAATTCATGAAAACAAAATCCTCATGGAAAGGATTAGGGCCTTACAAAAGGGGTTGAGGGCATGAGCTGATTCCCTTCTATCACTTCTATATCACGTGAGGACACAGTGTTCTTCCCCCATAGATGACACAGCAACAAGGCACTATTTGGGAAGCAGAGGGCAGCCTTCACCAGTCATTCATCCTGCCACAGTATTGATCTTAGTCTTCCCATCCTCCAGAACCGTGAGTCGTAAATTTTTACTGTTTATAAACTACCTAGTTGCAGGTAATTTGTTGCAGCAGCACAAACAAATTAAGGCATGGACACACCAAAGCTGAGTTGATTCAAGTAGCTAATTATAGAACTTTTTTTCACTAGAAATAGATGGCATGTTCTTTTTCGGTGCTTACATATAGTAATTTGGATTACAAAGAAATATTTAATAAATATTCCAAAGTAGAGATTATATAGACCATAGTCTCAGAAGAAGCAGATATTTGACGTACTGGTTAAGAAGACCGCATCCCATATCAGAGAGCCTGAGTTCAATTCCTGTGTCCTGCTCCTGATTCCAGCTTCCTGCCAATGCAGATCCTGGGAGACAGCAGGTGGTGGCTCAACTAGTTGGGTCCATGCCACTCACACAGAAATCTGGATTGAGTTCCTGGCTAATGGCTTCAATCCAGCCTAGACCCAGCCTCTATAAGCATTTGGGAAGTGAATCAGCGGATGGACACGCTCTTCCTTTATCTTTTTTTTTTTTTTTGACAGGCAGAGTGGACAGTGAGAGAGAGAGACAGAGAGAGAAAGGTCTTCCTTTGCCGCTGGTTCACCCTCCAATGGCCGCCGCTGCAGCCGGCGCACCGCGCTGATCCTGGCAGGAGCCAGGAGCCAGGTGCTTTTCCTGGTCTCCCATGGGGTGCAGGGCCCAAGCACCTGGGCCATCCTCCACTGCACTCCCTGGCCATAGCAGAGAGCTGGCCTGGAAGAGGGGCGACCGGGACAGAATCCGGCGCCCCAACCGGGACTAGAACCCGGTGTGCCGGCGCCGCAAGGTGGAGGATTAGCCTATTGAGCCACGGCGCCGGCTGCTCTTCCTTTATCTTTCTCTCTCTCTCTGGCTCTGTCTCTCAAGTAAATGGAAAAAAAAAATTTTAGGTTAAGAAAAAAATTAAGAAAGAACCTTTCTGAAATAGCTTCAGAAACCAATAGTAAACATAGGACACCACTGCAAGAATATTCTACAATGGCCTAATATTTATATTAGGATGGAAAGGATATTCTTATATATAATATAGAATAACTTCTCATTTCAACTTATTAAAGGTTAAAAATACAATTATATTAACACAGATTAGAAGATTAACAGAGATTCCTAAATAAAATGAAAGCTTAAATAGTATTCTTACTATGCTTTGGACAACAGATTTTTTTTCGTAATAACTTTTAGGAAATTCTTTATTAAAATTATATTTCTTAACTCATAAGAATCAACATTCAACATATAAACTATGATACAGAAAAGTTTTTTTTAGAATGATTTATTTTTTTACTTGGGAGACACACAGAAAGACAGGGAGAGAGACAGAGACAGAGACAAAGAGCTCCCATCTGCTCACTCACTCTCCAAATGCCTGCAACAGCTTCCAGTTGGAGGTAGGAACTGAATCTCAGCCTCCCCCATGGATGGCAGGGACCCAACTTCTTGAGCCATCACTACTGCCTCCTAGGGTCTACCCTGGGCAGAACGCTGGAATCAGAAGCAGAGCTGAGACTCAACCCAGGCATCCGATAAAGGGATGCAAATGCCCCATTCCTGTATCTTAACTACTAGAACAAACAACCATCCCAGAAAGATATTTTATAGAATTCAACGTCTTTCTTTGATAAAATTTTTTAGTTTAGGACAGAGGGAAATTTCTTAACATGATAAAGATTATTTACTGAAAGTTACAAACACAATTAATGGTATAACATTCACATTGCAGACTTAAAAGAGAGTGCTAATTACCATCATTATTATAAAATAGTATTGCCTTAGAAGGTTTAACAAATGCAATAAAAAAACAAAAGTCTTGACTCTAATGGGTCTTCTCTGTACTTAAGATTATAATAGTGGGGCCTTTACCCTGTACTGCAGGCATCCCGTATGGGCACCGCTTTGAGACCTGGCAGCTCCACTTCCTACCCAGCTCCCTGATAATGTGCCTGGGAAAGCAGTAGAAGATGGCCCAAGTCCTGGAGTCCCTGCATCCACATGGGAGACCTGGAAGAAGCTCCTGGCTTCTGGTTTCAGATTAGCCCAGTTCTGGTCTTTGTGGCCACTGAGGAGTAAACCACTGGATGGAAGACCTCTCTCTCTCTTCTCTTCTCTTCTCTCTCTCTCTCTGCCTCTGCCTCTCTGTAACTCTGCTTTCAAATAAATAAATAAATCTTTTTAAAAAATATTATAATAGCTTACTCACTGTGGCTTTTTGAAATTTACTCTGAGTTGTTAATGAGTCAAAGCATTATTTATCTTTGTGACTAAGTTTTTGGTGCCACCTTAGATTCAGGTTCCCTCACTTGCCTTATGCTGTCCAGTTCTAACTCTATTACTTGAAATGAGGGAATTCTATTGCAAACAAATGATTTCTTAGTAAAACTGTCAAAAAATAGAGGCATGGTTTACATTCACTAATAATCAAGGAAATAAAAACAGAAGCATAAATACAAATACATCCTATCTTTCACTTATCACTATGACAAAGGTGAAAAGGCTTCAAACAGACAAACTGGCAAGAGGGTAGAGAGAAAGTCATTTTCAAACATTGACTTCTGTTGTATAAATTTGTAACTTTTCTGAAAGCAAATTTGATGCTACTGGTCGAAACCTTTAAAATGTGCATCCCCTGATAAGTCTGTAAGGTTCCCATCACAGCATTGTTTAAAGGATTGTAAAGGAGAAATCATCTAAATATTTAAAATCATGCCATAGGTGAAGTAAAGCATGGTTTTGCATCAGAAGTGATATTCTGCAGTTGCTAAAATGTTTTACAAGTGCATTTTCTAACAAGGAAAAAAAATGTTGAGTGAAGAAAACCCAAGTTTCAGAATCATACATATAGCAATTTTTGAAGTATATATTTATAAACAAAAAATAACTGAATGATTTTCAGCAAGATGTCCACAATGCCTATTTCTAGGTAGCAAGATGGGCAATGATTATTATCTTTCTTGGGGAAGGACATTGGTTAAAGACGAGGGCTCGCTAGTCCATTTGCCTGAACTGTAATCCCAGCTTCATTATCCACTGACAGGATGACTTTGGCAAGTTTTTAAACGTTTTGAATCTCTTTTGTTTCATCAGTGCAATGGGGATGATATCTGAGCCATAGTTTGCAGGATAAAGTGAAATAATCCATGTAAAGGCTTAGCATGGTGTCTGGCACATAGACTATATTCAGTAAGAACTACTAATGTCTATACATTTTCATTTTTCTTTAATACATGAATCTTAAAATAACCTTGTGAAACCAAAAGCAATAGAAGTCAACCCTTTCCTCTCTTCACAAATGGCTTTTGTGAAGTAGAGAATTCATTGCCTCTGTCACTGGGCACACTTTCCTACACAATACACAATACTGAAGGTAGTAGGCGGCCCATGGTAAATGAGAAGGAGCTGTAAGCACAGCTTACAGTGTGGAAACTGCTAAAGAACATTAACAAGGTAAGGTCACAGGAGGTGACAAAGGCATCCCATAACTCCCAAACGGGCCTCACTTTCATATTGGACTGGAAGAAACGCAGCTAAGCAGAACACGTTCAACCTAACTCTCTCCTCCATTAACTACCTACGATCTATACTTTTCTTCCAGAGACTAGCGAATTTGTTTTTCTGGTTCTACCTTGTTAATTGCCTGCAATGTCCTAACCTATTCTGCTGTCAAGTTGCAGAAGCAATTGCTGAACTGGAGTCTGATCTAAAACTTCAAAGGAGATGCGGCAGCGGAGGGGACGTAGGTCGGAGCGCTGCTTCTCTTCTTTGGCACTGGGGCTTGGTATGGCGCTGTGGGACTGAAACAGAGATGTACAGTTTTCCATGATCTGGGGGTTTACAGTCATTTGGAGTAATTTGCATCTGTGAGACAGACATGGACCAGAGCACTGTTGGATCCCTGTGACGTGACAGAAGTGTCTTGGGCAACAAATGTTCTACGGCTCTATTTGTTGTCACTTTTGTGATCATTTAGTTGCCGGAAACAAGGCAGTTGGGGACTCAGGGATGTTTTCTTGTAACAGAAACAAGTCCTAAGGAAAACCTGGAAATAAGGAGATGGCGCTGTGGCACAGCAGGTGAAAGCCCCGGCCTGCAGCACCGGAAGCCCACAGGCACGCTGGTTCGTATCAGCAGGATCTCAGCTCCAGCCGTTGTGGCCATTTGGGGACTGACCCAGCAGATGGAAGACCTCTCCCTCTCTCTCTGTCTTTCAAATAAATACAAGAAATCTTAAAAAAAAAAAAAAAAGCACTTGAAAAATTTTAACATTTCATTATTTGATTCTTTTTGCAGCTAACTTAAAAAAATACGAAGCAGAAAAAAGTTACCCATAGCCCAACAACTTAGAGGAAACCCTAGTACGTTTTGTTTTTATATTTTAGTTTTATTTCAGATTACTTATTACAGGAAACTGTTCATATAAGTATTTATTAAAGATGTGCTTATGATAATAATGGCTAGAAATATTTTACATAAAAATAGAGGGCCTACTTGGTTTTGTTGGGTCAGTTTTTCCACTACTTAAGGTTGAAGACCAGAGTTTGGCAGTCGATGTAGAAACAGAACCTATAAAGAAAAGGTAGGGAAAATACTTAAAAATGTACTTCCCAAATAGGTTCTCAATTGTTTTCAAAAAAAAAAAAAGTATTTAGGGACATGGTTATGATAATAATGCATAGAAATCAATTATGTAAAAATAGAGGGCCTACTTGATTTTGTTGGGTCAGTTTTTCCATTACTTAAGGTTGAAGACCAGAGTTTGGCAGTCGATGTAGAAACAGAACCTATAAAGAAAAGGTAGGGAAAATACTTAAAAATGTACTTCCCAAATAGGTTCTTACTTGTTTTCAAAAAAAAAAAAAAAAAAAAAAAGCAAAAAAAAGAGGTCCTACTTGATTTTGTTGCTAAAACCGTATGTTCAGAAGTAATGTCTTGTTTTTCATTATTTAATGTTGAAGCTGTGAAGTTGGCAGGTGCTGTAGTAATGAAACCTATAAAGAGAAGGTGGGGAAATACTTAAAAATTTACTCCCAAGTAGGTTAATAGATGTTTTCAATAATCTTTAGAAACCATGGCAAAAATAAAATCATCATGGAATGTTTACCTCAGTTTCTCATTTTAAAATCTGTATATGAGGAGTCCTCAAAAATATCATGAAAAATGTGTATTATGAAAAACTGGATGGATTTCAAAATTTTTTTGCACCAAAACAAATTCATCCTTTAATTCCATTTTCTGAGGACTTTTTTTTTAAATTTTTTTTGACAGACAGAGAGAAAGATCTTTCTTTTCTGTTGGTTCAACCCCAAAATGGCCGCCCCGGCCAACGCGCTGCGCTGATCTGAAGCCAGGAGCCAGGAGCCAGGTGCTTCCTCCTGGTCTCCCATGCAGGTGCACTTGGGCCATCCTCCACTGCACTCCCTGGCCACAGCAGAGAGCTGGACTGGAAGAGGAGCAACCGAGACAGAATCCGGCGCCCTGACTGGGACTAGAACCCGGGGTGCCGGCGCCGCAGGTGGAGGATTAGCCTAGTGAGCCGAGGCACCGGCCTTTCTGAGGACTTTTTGAAGTCCCCTCCTAAGTTAGTTTCGATATCCTATCCCTTCTTCTCCCTTAGGAGTTTTTCTTCTCTTCACAGTGGAATGGCCATTTATTTGTAGAAGCCAAATGTCACACCAAGCTAAAGATATCTGTGGGTTTGGCAACAATCGACAACTCATTTCAGGTTGACGTTGCACCAAAGCTTGGAGGTGGTAAAGATGTTTAAATGCCTGGCTGTGCTGGGCTCCTTGGAATGGGCAGGAGGAGACAGGCTCACAGGGGCCGACCTTGTCTCCCACAAGACTCTAGTCATTGGCTGTTTCTGAAGTGCAGAGTGTGTGAGTGCTTGGCAGGGTGTGGGACACCTAAGGGGAAGACACAGTTTTTATTTTCAGTCATTTTATAGTCTTGGGGTCACTGACAAGCAGTTCCTGTCACACTTCTCTATCCTAATTAAACAGTTAAAAAGTCTCTGTACTTGGATCACTGAAACAAACAGAAATACCTCATTCTTCCATTGTGTAGTGTGCACCTGGTAGGGTGCTTGGGTTAATCGTGGTTTACATGGAGCATGCCTTTCGGCTCAAGAGCTGAGAACAACCCTTCCCCGCCTCTACCCTCCCGCTTCCTCTCTTCCTCCCTCCCTTCCCTGCCTTCCCTTCTATGAATCCAGAACTCTGCTAGATTCTGGGGACACTCTAATGAATAAAGAGGGCACAACACCACTCCCCCTTGGATCTTCCAATTAAATCAGTATGTTATAACCTAGACTGCAAATCTGCATGAATTGTAAGTAAAACCAGAAACTTCTAGTGGGTCCAGATTTAGAACATGATTTACTAGTTGAAGAGACATAATATTGTGTTTTCAAAATTTTTTCAAGAGTTATTTATTTATTTGAAAGGCAGAGTTACAGAGAAGCAGAAGCAGAGAGACAGAGAGATAGAGAGACTGAGAGAGTGAGAGAGAGAGAGAATCTTCCATCACTCCACCAAATGGCTTCAACGGTCAGAGCTGGCCTGATCCAAAGCCAGGAGCCAGGAGCTTCTTCCAGGTCTCCCACCTAGGTGCAGGGGCCCAAACACTTGGACCATCTTCTACTGCCCAGGCCATAGCAGAGAGCTGGATTGGAAGTGGAGCAGCCGGGTCTCAAACCGCTGCCCAGATTGGATGCCTGCATTGCAGGCGGTGGCTTTACCTGCATCGCTGCTATGCCGGCTCCCTTCAAATTGTTTCTCAGCATAAGAATCCAATTTCGTTTGAGCACACTCAGTTGGCTCCTCTCTCAGAACTGCTGTATTTGCTCTTCCTGTCACCTCCAGTTCCATCCCTGAGACTGCGGGATTGGCTCCTTGTCATTGTCCATCTTCTAGCACTCTGTCATCCACTCAGAAAAAGGTCCTACTGCCCTTTTCCAAAGCAACCTTCTGCATGCATGTTTATCAGCTTGATTTTGTTTTCTTTATAACATTTTTCCTGTCTGTTCTGATCTTAGTAACTTCCTTGTTCTGTTTATTGTCTTTGTTCCCTCCCACTGTCCTCCCTGGCAGGAGCTCATTCATCTTATTGCCATGGCGTGGAGGCCCAGCTCAGCACCTGACCTGTGATTACTAAACGAACAAATGAGAGAAGCAATTCAGGGACTAGGAACCAAATCTTTTCAGACAGAAAGAAAAACACACAAAAAAACCCACAACTTTTTCTCTATTTGGAAGATGACCTCTGATAAGGTTAGAAGGAGAAATAGTGGCTTGCTCCTAAAATTATTGGCACAAACAGAATGATCAATTTTTCCATTGCTAAAGATGTTTCCCCTTCACACTCTACACTCTCTTCTTCAACTAATGAGCAAAGGGGGAGGGTGAAATCTGCTCTCACGTCCTTTCTGTTGGACTATCAAGCAACAACATCCAGAGAGACATAGATGATAACAGCTCAGGCACTGAGGGCTGCTGTAGCTTCCAGAGCCATGGGCCTCGATGACCTGGTCATCAGCGTCACTTGAGGCCTTCATACACTCCGTGCCTGAGCCACTGGAGACGCGAACAACTCCTTTATTTTCCAGGAACCCTTTCCAAATTTGGAGCACCTCTATGCCACACAGAGTTTCCAAATGTTGGATTCCTTCTTTCCCCAAAACACATGCTGTGTCTAATTTTGATCAAATCATCCCCAAGCAACCCAAAGAATACCTCTTCTTTCTTCTGTCTAATCACACTCTGCAAATATTTGGATATATTTGCATACTATACCACATCCCTTCCATTTCTCTTCTTTTCTTCAAACAAGATGTTTTCTTACTTTTCTACTTTAGAAAACGAGAGCAGTATTGCTAATCTGCTTTCTTGTAATTTTTTTTCTTCCTAACTTTTACAGAATTGCCAATCAATAGACCCAGGTTTGTTCCATAGTCTATTATTATTTTCATGCTAATACTTATCTTAATAATACTTATTAGTACTTCCTAATTATTATAATTAATTCTTTTTAGAGCTAGAGAATAGCAAACTTCACACTTTACTTTGTGCCAGGCATTCGGGTAAGAGCATTGCATTGCCTGGTTTGTGCGGCCTCCGACTGTTACTGCGAGGCAGGGATGGATGTTGCCCACCATCTGCAGATGAGGATATCCAGGGAGACAGAGGGGTGCAGTTTGCTCCTAATGTCCCCCAGGCTATCAGATGTTCAATCGGATTTGAAGCCAGTTCTGTCTGTTCCTCACACCTGTGTGCTGAGTCATTCCGCTGCTATTTTATCCCCTGGGGTAGCTTAGAAAATGCTGATCTCTGCCCTGTATTCTACAGAATACACAGGAGCTCCTTGACACCTGCTCTAACTTGAGTTAGGGCTGTGTCTGATGGGCTAAATAGATTTCAAATAACAGCCTGGTCCTTATCAAAGTGCTAGGCACCAGTGTTTCCCACATAGACATACTATGTTTGAAAGGATGGGACATATAACAATCTCAGAAAAAAAAAAAAATAATGTTAATTTAACACACCTTAACAATACCCCTAGGTATTTATTCATGTCAATGAATTGGCTTGGATTTCTCCCCAAACCACATTAATACCTAAGCCAATGAGAAATTTTATTTTCATTTTTCTTGCATTGCACCTCAATAACTGACCTACAGAGAGGGAGACAGCTCCCCATGTTTCGGAATTCATGCAGGGGTCTTGTCCCTTTCTGGCAGCAGAAATCAGAAATGATACTTTGTGAAAGCTGAGAACTGTTAGTCCACCATCAGCTTCATCAATAATTCATTAATCTGGAAACTTCTCTCTTTTAAAACTGAAACAAAGTAACACATTTACTCACACAAAGCTATTTCTCACATTTGATAAAATTCCTTTAGTTCTGACTAGGCTTCGAGTGGAAGCAAACTTGTGATTCAGCCACAAATACCAGGAGGCTTCACAAAGTTTGTGGAAAATAGAATTAAAAGAGAAATTGATTTGGGAACAAAAAAGTCTTGAAATCCATGCATCGCTTTTTCAGAATACATGTTTTGCACGAACTTTTTGAAGATCACTCATATGTATGGATTTCAAAATCTGTTTGTACTGAAGTCAACATCTTTTAATTCTATTTTTCTCTGTGAACTTTTTGGAGCATCCCCATAATGCGCCATGTCCCTTACCTGGCTGACTGAATTCCAATAAAACCCCTCCACCAGATGGGAATCTGAGCACTATTCAGTAATTTAATCAATTGAGTAAGATGCAACTGAAATGCGGTAGTTATCTTAACTCCATATTCAACAAAGCAGCAACCAGTTTAAAAAAATGACTTACCGAACAATAGTAGTGCAATTGTTATTTTTTCATACATCCTGAGATCATGAGCTGGCTCACAAAGTCGGTGCAGGCAAACCACCAAGAATGACTGGAAGTATCAATTTCTGGCCCCCGCCTGAACGCTGTTATCTTCTAGGGCCACCTTCTAGGGCCACCGTCAGCTCATTGGCCTGGCATTTTAAATGATGCAAAGTTGTTAAGTGGCTGTTAACAAAGATATGTGGATATCTTACTTAACTGGCACTGTGAAAGTCATAAGGAAATCTTCACTTCAGGGAACTGGCTGCTACATGTGAAATTTTCTTTGCAAAAATTAAGTGGGCAGAGCAAGGTAATAGTCAGGGCCTGCCCATTCAGAGAAAGAATGACTATGGAGGCTTGAGGTCGCAGCTTGCACCAGGCTGATGTAGCTCTTGTGGGCTATGAACCTTTTCATTTTTAATGTGGAGTTGTTTGCAGTTCAAATTGAAAATGAGGCCTTTTTTTATACGAAAGGCAGAGAGAGAGACAGTGAGACAGATAGAGATCTCCCATCCCCTAATTCACTCCTCAAGTGCCCAAAACAGCTGGATTGCACCAGACCAAAGCCAGGAGCTGGAGGTCCATCTGAGTTTCCCAGATGAGTGTCGGGGATCCAAGTTCCTGGGCCATCACCTGCTACTACTCAGGTGTACGTTAGCAGGAAGCAGTGCCGGGACTCAAACCCGGGTACTACAGTATGGGATGCAGGTGTTTCCAGCGGCATCCCAACCACTGCACCAGATATCCTGAAAATGAGCTCTTATACTTAAAGTAACTGTTTCTGAACATTTTATTTAATTTTTTTTTGACAGGCAGAGTGGACAGTGAGAGACAGAGAGAAAGGTCTTCCTTTTGCCGTTGGTTCACCCTCCAATGGCCGTATGAACATTTTAATTACCATTTGAAAACACTTCAAACTCAGCACAAGACATACAGTAAATTAAGAGACTCAAAATGCAAGAAATCTTTCACTGAAATCAAGCTTGAATTAAATAGTAGTGCCTACATAGCTTATGTAATATCAAGACAATACATGCAAACATTGAAAAACAGAAAGAAACTGTCAAATGTAAACCTTGTTATAAGTCAGGTGAAAATGTAGCATTATGGAGTCAAGCATTTGGCTCAGCTGTTAGGACACTGTCTCACATCAGAGCATCTGGGTTTGATTTCTGGCTCTAGGTCCTGATTTCTCTCTCTGATTCCTGATTCTAGCTGCCTGCTAATGCACACTCTGGGAGGCGGTGAGGATGGCTCAAGTAATTGGGCTCCTGTCACTTACATGAAAGATTCGGATTGAGTTCACAGCTTCTGGCTTCAGCCCCAGACAGCCCTGGCTATTGTGGTCATTTGGGGAGTGAATCAGTAGATGGGAACTCTCTCTTTCTGTATCACTGGCTCCCTCTGCTTCTCAAACAAATTTTTTAATGTGTGGTGTGAAAGTTTGAGGAAGAATGATTTCAAAGGGAGGCAGAACAAAACCAATAAAATAATTAAATTAGGCTTCTTTATTTGAACCCTTCCGAAAGTTGTTTTTAACAGATGATTGAATAGTCTACCTAAGTTGTGTTACTCTAGTAAAAAGCTTTTCGTGTGAAAGTTTTTCCTGCCTGATCCAGAAAGTCAATTTGCTAAGTAAGCAATTTGTGAAATACTCATTTACCTAAGAGGTGCCTTTTTAAAAAGCATTTAGGAAGCTGACATGATAGACGGCTGGGGAGAAGATGGAGATACACATCAGCTGAGCATCCTAGAGAGGGCGCACCTGCGACTATGGGATTGCCAGGGAGCTGGGATACAGACTTGGGCCAGCCTGAGATTGCAGGGCACAGAGGAGATTGTGTGGGCAACAGCATCAGGATCTTGTGGAACCTTGGAAGCTGAAGGCTTGCTCAGTGCTCTGACACTTCACGCAAAGCAATTGTTGCGAAATTTACAAAACGTTACATTTCACAAATACTCAATAAATCAGTACCTTCCATAAGCTAGTTATGGTGATTGGGTACCAGGTTGTGTTGCAGAAATGTTCTTAAGAGATTCTTAAGAATTCCTAATGAAGGAGATCCTGTGAATGTTAATATGAGCAGTAAACAATTATTACATACACATTTAAATTGATAAGGGAAAAGAAATTAGCATGAGCCTTCGAAAGGCCCTTTCTCTTTACCATGAGTAAATCAGTTAGTCAGTGTCCTCACAGTAGACTATTAAAATCATGTTTTCAAAAACAAAGACAGGAAGACTCCGGATAAAATAGGTGAATGGAAACAGTGAGATCACCAAACAGGATCTATGAAAACAAAATCCCGTTTGCCTCTTTTCTTTTGGGCTGGATTGCCTCTACCTGAACACACCTGCTATCATCTTACGTGACCTATTCCATTTCTGCTCAGGATCTCAGTTGAATAGGACTTCCTCCAAGAAGCCTTCCCTGACTCCCTAAGTCTCAACCAGGGAAGGTCTCAATCCGTTCTGGGTTTCTACTCTGCCCTTGTCATAAAACTTATCATATTGCATCGCATAACCTTTGGGTCCTAGCTAGACTGTAACTTCTAAGTAGGCACACTCTGCCTGCAGCAGTCTTGTCTGCTATTGAGTGTTTGGGAACACTTGATGCTCAATAAGTTTTTTCCTCCATATCTGCAGGCTCCATATCCATGGTTTCAGCTAACTGTGGATCAAAAATATGTAGAAAATGTATTGAAAATGTACAGACTTTTCTCTTTATTCCCCAAAGAATACAGTGTAAGAACTATGAGGGTGCTTTAAAACATTCATAGAAAAATGGAATTAAAAGATCAGTTCATTTTGATGCAGAAATTTTTTGAACGCCATACAGAGTACACATTTCTCACTTTTTGAAGACTGCATGTATGCATGCATTTCAAAGTGTTTTTGCATCAAAGTAAATCTATTTTTTAATATCAAGTTCCATGGATTTTTAAAATACTCTTGTGTTTACATAACATTTGCACTGAACTATATATCAGCAATCAAAGGATGATTTAAAGTATATGGGAGGATGTGTGTGTGTGTTGTATGCCCATGATACACCATCTTATGTTAGGGACTTGATCGTTTGCAGATTTTGTGTCTGTACGGAGGTCCTGAATCCACTACACACAGATCCTGAGTGAATTTGTCAAATTAGTAAATGACAAATGAATATTGCAGTGCAGAGGAGAGCAACTTCTCTCTGTCAGTCTTGGAGTGTAGAGACAACTTATTTTATATATGAGAGGTCTTTGAAAAGTCCAATGAAAGTGCATATTATGAAAAAAAAAAAAGCTCTGCATGGATTCCACCCTGTTTTTGCACCAAAATAAGCTTGTCTTGAAATTCCCTATTTTCCACAATGTTTGGAAGTACCCTAGTATGCCCTGTGTTATATCCTGACTCCAGGTTACTCCCAGCCAAAGTCCCTTACAGGAAAGGAAAAAAAAAATTGGAAAACCAGCCTGGAATCCAGAGTTCATATTTCTTCAGGGTGAATTAATCGGACTCTGAAGATGCTTTCTCTTATTCCACAGCCTGCTTCCCCAGTGAAGTACCTCATTAATTATTCTAGAAACTCCCCTAGCCATTTCACAGGCAAGTTCATTCACATTTGTCTCTGATTGTCCTGAATCACTGGTTCTCTGTAATTGTGGGTCCTGTCCCCCCAGTTCTGTTTCCAGCATCTGGCAGAATGCCCTACAAGAGAGGGAGGCAGAGTCAGTAACTACCTGTCTTCAGGATGGTCGACCACGTGACACAGGGAGTCACCCATATGGGCAAGGGCTGCAGGACAGCAATGCATGTTTTGCCCTTGGTCTCTTGGTAGAGCTAACCTGCTCTTAAGAACTGGGGGAGCGTGTAGTGAACTCGGGTTAGAATAGGTTTGCAGTTTCTTTCAGCATTAGTATTGACACTGCCTGGCCTGATTAAAGAAAGGCAAACCCTGGAGTGTTCTTAATGCGGGAACCGGAGATCAGAGTCAGCATCACAGGCAGAAGGTGTGTGGAGGTGGAGCTATACAGTGACCTCTAGTGGTGAATCTACGTAACAGAAGCGAAAATGTGAGCCTAGAAAACGCAATCCAAAATACCATCAGATTATACTTTTCCTGTTTAGACATTTCTCTAGGCGTCTTTATATTGTTACACATCATAAAATCCTAACCATGAGATATATCATGCACAGGTTTTAGATAGAATCAACTATCTTTTGAGAATTTTAAATCTGTGCCTGAAGAAGATGCTCTTTAGACATGAAATGTAGTAGTGTTGCCTAATTTCTTGGTACTGTATGTCCTCGGTCTGTGTTTATCTTACTGAGTTGGCCACTGTTATAGCATACTCAAGGACAAAGATGAGGCACATGAAGCACAAGATGGTAAACTAGGAAAGTCAACCTGGATCCATCAACCTTTTGATGACAGGGAGACAATTATGTTGGTGATTATTTACCTCCCAAATATTGCAGGCTCAGGTTATGCCTGAAGGTGGTGGCATGCTAGTCTGGTCTGCCAGAGGACAAATCTGCTCTTTGTAGTTTATATGGAAGTCTGAGGACAGGGGAGGAACAGAAATGTCGAGACTAAGGCTTGTACTACCAGCCTCTTTGGACCTTGTCACCTTAGAAAGGTCCAGTCTGGGCCGGTGCCGCGGCTCAATAGGCTAATCCTCCACCTGCGGCACCAGCACACCGGGTTCTAGTCCCGGTCGGGGCGCCAGATTCTGTCCTGTTTGCCCCTCTTCCAGGCCAGCTCTCTGCTGTGGCCAGGGAGTGCAGTGGAGGATGGCCCAAGTGCTTGGGCCCTGCACCCTCATGGGAGACCAGGAGAAGCACCAGGCTCCTGCCATCGGATGCGCTGACCGCAGCGCACCAGCAGTGGCGGCCATTGGAGGGTGAACCAACAGCAAAAGGAAGACCTTTCTCTCTGTCTCTCTCTCTCACTGTCCACTCCGCCTGTCAAAAAGAAAGAAAGAAAGAAAGAAAGAAAGAAAGAAAGAAAGAAAGAAAGAAAGAAAGAAAGAAAGAAAGAGAGAGAGAAAGATCCAGTCTGCTTTGCCAGAGTGGTCTAACTACTTTCCTGGTTATATTTTCATTTCAAAATTAAAAAAAAATAAGATTCACAAAGTTAGACAAATCCGATGTTCAAAATAACCCCGTTCAAGAGACAAAACAGGTATTATCAATCTTAGTTGATAAATGAGGAAACTAAGGCTA